TCCTCACTCTCTCTCCCCCTCCTCACTCTCTCTCCCTCCCCCTTCTCACTCTCTCACTCTCCCTCCTCACTCTCCCCACTCCCACTCCCCACTCTCTCTCTCTCTCTCTCTCTCGCCCTCAGTGAATGTGAATACTTCCCCTTCCTGAAACGTTGTGTTTCTTGGGAGAGATACGTCACTTTGAAAATAAAGTGTATTATTCGGAAGAAACCGCAACCGCGACCGACCAGCCTCGGAACTAAAATAATTTGTTGTGGCTGGTAAATTAATTACGACGTGAGGCTCAGCAGCGCCGCGCACAAGAGTGGGGTATATAGAAGATCTGTATAATTGGAGATGGTCCTGCAGACGGTTTCGCTGCGTAGTGAAACCTATTTATGCATTCCACGGCGATCGTATATGTGTGTGTCAGGGCCGTATGCGTCCTCCAGCCATCCCCGAGGGCATCATTTTACGTCACCGTGCTTGCACGGGCGGGCGCTTGCACGCCATTGCAGGTGATGCTGCTGCTTGGTAACCTCGTCAGGTTTGTCACCAACACAGGCACGGCGTTCTGAGGAGGACGTGCACGCCTACCCGGCGGGAGACGGTACTAAATTTTCGGCGCTTGTTTCCTTCCTAAGATTCTAAGCGATACACATGCAGAACCTCGATTCTTCCACTTCTGAAAAAATACAATTCCATGATAGTTCAGTAATAATATCTAATAATAGTAATAATAATAATAATAGTAATAATAATAATAATAATAATAATAATGATAATAGTAATGATAATAATGGTAATGATAATAATGATAATATTGATAATAATGATAATGATGCCGAGATCGCAAAGGCAGTAGTGCCGTGGTAGTAGTGAATCAAAGGATCGCGGGTTCGAGTGCTGCGTTGGGCATGGTTGTGTTTTTGTGTGTCTCTGTATATTTGTGATCTTCCATTCGTCCATCATTTCACCTCATTCTGACCGGCTACCAACGGTGGACTTAAAAACGGATTCAGCATGAAAATGCGGATCCCCTCTATAAGAGTCACGTGCACCCAAATAGTAATCCGTAATAATAAACTCATTATGGGCTGTAATTATAGGGCAAGGGTTTGAAAAAATTTACCAATACGCATGCTACATAGATTATGCTAAACTATTCGACACCGTGCCCCATCCTTGGCTCCTTCAAAGTCTGGATGTACACAAGGCCCACTCGTCTGTCCAAAACTTCCTGAAAACTGTGATTAGTCAATGAAATACAAAACTACGAGTATCTCTCTAAAGGAAAACAATCAGTCGAGACAGATACCATACGTATCCGCGTGGGATATTCCAGGGTGATTCTTTAAGCCCTTTATTGTTTTGCTTAGCCATGAATCCTCTGACTAATCCACTAAATGCATCTAATTATGCCAATGCTCTTACCTCAACCCTTCTTCGTTTCTCGCATCTTCTGTACATAATGAACTGAAGCTCTACGCAGAGACTGAAAATCAAATGCGGTGACTAATAAGAGTGACGGAGAAATTCACTCAAGAATTCCCATGAAGATGAAATTAGATTCGAAAAGTGAATATCATTCGAGGTCATAAGCTACAGCATACCTGTGAGTAGTTGGCACACCGATCAGTAAAAACTGTGAACTGTAAAAAAATACAATTCCATGATAGTTTATTAATAATACCTAATAATAGTAATACAATAATATAATAATAATAATAATAATAATAATAATAATAATAATAATAATAATAATAATAATAAATGGGTTTTTTGATATCTCTAACATCAATTGGTTTCATTGAAATCTAGAGTTGCTTGTATTCTTCAACTTCCTATTGTATTTGGACTTCATTATCTCAAACCTCGGTGTGTTGAAATATTTGATAATTCTAAATTTTTATTTTCACCTTGAAATTCAAAATATCGAGGTTCCTCTAATGTAATCATTAGTTCCGTCTAAGTATGTATCCATTAGTTGTGTTTCAGTTAACTGCATTTCCAATATGTTTACATTCGTGTCATCAGTATGTCGATATTGAATCCCGTGTAGAAAGTTTTTAATCGCAGCCTTCCATGGTCCCGCGGCGCGGTGTGGCGTGAATTCCACGGGTGAAGTGGCGAAGGGGCGAAAGGGGAGCGTGGCTATCCAGCGCGAGAGCGGCCGCGTACCGCCGAAGCCTTCCCGCCCCACCCACACTTACCCACGGACCCAGTTGGCCGCTAGGATAGCCGAAATCGTTATGGTCCAATCTAGTAGGTGGAACTAAACGGGGCATATGGGAGCATATATAGCTATTGCTATGGAAAGTTTGCGGATTTTTTTTAATGTGATGATTCTAGATATAAAAGAACCCAAACTGTTGGGTGTATTTTTAGCTGTCATTCCATTAATAGAAACTAATATTTAGAATGAAAATGCAAATTTTTAGTTTCACCAGACTCTTCTAAAATTGTTGCAGTTTGCTGATTAAAAATCAAAGCCTCGTAGCTGCATCGTGCCTGAACGGTCGTGGGTTCGAATCCTGCCTGGGGCATGTGTCTGTGTGTCTGTATGCGAGTTCCGCCACATTTACCGTTACCCTAAAGTTACAAAACCTATGTTAATTAGTGGTCGCTACATGTGGTAGTAGCTGAAAGAGAGACTTTAAAATAAACATGAAAAAATACTCATTTTTTTCCACTAAAAATTCATAAATGAAGCTAGGCTATTATATATTTATTTTATTTTATTGACCCATGTACTGTTTTCTGAAAATAAAAATAATCTGTGTTACCAAATTATTTTTCAAACCATTTTGAAAATGTACTCATTAAAGAAATGGGGATATAATAGTAGAGATATAATAAGTAGATTGGTAATTGAAATCGAATCAACTTATTGACATTAAATGTTTATATAAATGAAGATAAATTGAATACGATTTTTATTTTAATGTGGTTTTTGAAATATGACTTGTATGGCTCCAGGTAGCTGTATCTACCGCTTCAAATTGGCTATATCAAATATGGTAGTAACATGCTTGTTGGTTCACTTTTAGAGAAGTGATTCAGAGATTTCTGTCAAACGGGTTACACACGGACAAAGCCTGTTAGCGTACTCCGTTGCGTCATCCAGTACTCGTGGTATTAACAGTCTTTTAACATGGGTGGTCGGGAACTCGCGTCAGTCTTTCGGTCCTAGCTTACTCACATCCGGCATTGCAATGGATTCAGGTGTCAATGATTCATGTACTAGTAAAAGAAATGTATTGTGCGAGTATAGCGTGTATTTGAAGAATCCAAAACAGTATGACATGCTTACAATCGGCAATAAAAATAAATTTTAAAATGTCAACCAAAAATGAAGGTGGTTTGCGAATTCAAAAGTTACCATCAGTATTTTTTAAAATTCAAACATGCTTCATTGTGGTGTACTATTTGCGACAACGAAGCGGTGTGGCGCGTTCGTCTTCCATAACGTGGCTATCCAATGATCAATATATAGATAAACTTGTTCGTTCCCAAGGCCATAGCTTTTCATTGCCATGTTTAAAAAGTTGCGACGCGTAGAACGCAGAGGAACTGCCATACTTGAGTTCCTTTGTTAAGTCGTCCCTACTCGTTTCGTCGGGGGCACATTTCATGCAGTTTCTTTTCTTGCTGGCTCCGGGTGTAGGACGCAATTCTATACTCCGGGCGCCGAACAATCAGAACCCCTGCATGCGCCTCGCTGTTCCGGGGCGGGTCCCAGCACCGGAAGAAGGCGTCGACTTCAGGAGCACCTATTCCGAGAGCTCTGAACGTCATCGATGACTGGCATCCGTCAGCAGCAGGGTTTTACATTGGATGTGTGGTGAAAATGAAAACAAAACTACTTATGAAGTAGATTCCTCATGAAAATTTCGCCTCATTACAAGTATCGAGAGAAGAACAGTAATTAACGAACTCAAAAATATCAAAAGTGTAGGATTGAAATATTCTTTCACTTTATATTGCCCGCGTAGATCATGCAGCACGCACGTGGCAAGGGCAGTGTAGCGCGGCAACGCTGCCTCTCTGTCTAGCACAAAAAAGAATGGTATGACGTATGAGACCTCGTCACATGGGTCGTTTATCATCTTAATAATAATAATAATAATAATAATAATAATAATAATAATAATAATAATAATAATAATAATAA